TTTGTACCCATAGCGAAAAGCGCTCATTATATTCCTATGGCAGCATAAAAATTTTCGCCTACTGTGGTACTCATAATTTTAGCAGTCGGAGAAAATTTTTACAGTAGCACGCCGTCAAGAATACAATTCCTCGTGGAATTCACGAGCCCTATGATGTAAGATGTGCCACCGGCATGAACCGCTGCGAAAAGAAAATTATGCTAACTACTCAGTCACGGGAAATGAACGGCAGGCGCACACAGAAATGCAGCATCGGTAACTGTCAGTCAGGATACGCAATCAGCAAAGCTTTCGAATGCACAGGTAGTCCGATAAAAGCGCTTTTCATCCTTTTTACTACCTACCTTTTCATCGCGTATATCCTCAGCGTTTAAGCTGGCGGGTTTCTCCATCGCAACCAGCGTCAGAATTTGCATCAAATGATTCTGCATAACATCACTAAAACAAAACAGTGCTGTGTTATTGCAAAAATCTGCCGTATTTAGTCAATGTAATATACTGCGCCTGAAACTGGTATTTAGCCAAATTCACAGCAACAACGCCCTACTATTCATCCAATTTAAGCATATTTTTTCGAAGATAACGCTGCTTTCCCTTCATCTTATTCGAGAATGTGTATTGCTTGAGACCCAATTCCTTTCTGCAAATGAGTGTGGATCGGGTGGGAATGGAACCACTCATTTTCATTATTTCCGGATCCCTTCAAATCGTGAGATGTTATCATTATATTACCGCTCTTGTGCTCCAAGCACTAACTGAAGAGCTTATATTTACACTGCCTAACGCAGCTAGCACTTCTTAACTGTTGCCAGTTTTACGCAAAACTTCCGAGACACATGTCGTCTCGAGGTGAAACTTCTTTCCATGTCAGCTGGCAGTCAACGCAAACGTCTTTTCCTCACGCGATATTTCCCACTCAGTCCCATTCTAATTATATTTTTACAATGTTAACAATTTGTTTAACCGGACTAATCAGACAAGATTTTCACGATACCAGTAAGGTCCGTTCAAATGTATTGCATTTTAGTTGATCACTTATGATACTACCAGTCCGACCATGACACAAAGCATCGCCTGCAACGGACTGACTTTATTAGCCTGCGATCGCACGCAAGGTATAAAACATTCACCGTATGATGCCGCTCTTATCAAAATAACCAGCGCGACCCTGTGTTCCAAAATTTTCTTTGAACGTAATCACAATCGCAGCAATATTGTCACGATTCCACGAAGGGTTAAAAATCCTGTTACCGAACCTAAAAAGCACTAAGAGTCTTAAAAACTGCGGTTGTTTTCAACCCACTTATTAAAACAAACAAAACACCAAACATCAACAAATCGCAACTCAACATTCCGAACATGGCTGACTGCTGATTACAGATCGGCCTTTTGTAAATAGCATTCCTTAGTCGGAGTTTCCCTATAAAACCCCACTACGAAATTAAGGATAATGCTTTCAGTCTGAGATACGCAAACACAGCACAATTTCAAGAAAAAAAAATTCAGTGCACAAGAATTCCTAACCTGAGAATCATGAGATTCTGA